ATCGCGTGATCCTTTAAAACTATTTAGTTTGATTTAAATGTAATATAAGATTTGTTATGTAGAAATCAGTTTGAACTACCAAATCCATACATAAATTAAATCATACATCATCTTAATAATTAACATATGTGGAGCATTTTTGTAAATCAAATAGTAGAAAATCAGCAATTTCTTAAATCCTGCTTAAGTTATCCACGTCATCTCTTCCAACTTGTTTTGATTCTTGATTCTTGTCCGGTACACAAGAGCAGTATCATGTACATATATAGAGGATAAAAAAAATCGCAATTCTTGTCCTTTTCGAGGGAGTAACATAATACTCCTCTCATTGTCACGACTTGACACATGTACCTCTTAAGATTTTTTTTAACACTATTGTACCTCTTAAGGTTTAAGAATGTATTTTGTAATAAATATCTATAAAAAAACATATTACTACTCTAAGAAACAATTATTTTTATTTCATTGCATTTAAATAGATGAATTAAAGCGGATTGTTTAACGAAAATAAATGCAATTCTAGAATCACCCATTTTTAGGGAGATCATAAATTTGTATTACTTGTCTATGCAACAACAATATTTCTTAGGATCCTTGGGATCTTTAGGATTACGAGAACATTGTCCACCAGTTCGATGCCCTTTCCCGATTCAGTCACTAAAACATGCCACAAAATCGTATCGAAACGTACACGAAATGCTGGTGTAGAAATTTGATATTTTTTTTGTCAAATGCACCTACACATCCTCATTAAAAGTTAGTTGTAATGGATACAATTATACAAACATGTGCCCAAATGAATATAGTTATGCAACATGTTTATTAAAAAGTACTGTAACATGCCCATAAAGTCTAATCTTTTACAATAAATTTGAATGCATGTGTATTACAAATTCTATATGTATGACTATTGCTTTTCAAATGATAAAAAAAAAACATTAAATTTAAACAAATATGATGTCAAAACGTTGGTATTGGACAGCAAAACTGCAAATACTAACCCCAATAAACAAGCTACAAATTTTTTTGTTATTCCCATATTATTATTATTTCGGATCTTAAAGAGAGGTTCTCTTTGTTGGTACAAAAAAAATCTTTGTTGTTACAAATTTTTTCGTCTGTATTATTTAC